CTTCCTCTCTTTACCTTCAATAGTAAAGACAGAAACACCACAGAAAATTTGTTATTTAGTTTTGAATAAAAACGTTTTTAAATTCTCGGAGGGAATTAAATGGCGAATTAAATGCTGTTGACTTTATTATCTTTATGATTTTCATTATTCTTTCAAAAAATCTTACATGTCTTTATGTCGTTACAACTGAACAACGTTTAACTTTATTGCCTATAAATGTTTTAATTCTTTCCTTCTGTATTGCCTCCATTCCATTTGTTTTTYCTTTACCATCCATCCATTCTGTTTTCCCGTATGGTGTCATATTTTTCTTTACCATAAATTGCTAAATTTGTTATTGATTTAACAACCATTCTTTATTGTTGTCCCAAGGTGTACCGAGGTTGATGACAGTGAGAAAATCAACTTTGATTACATCAAGCAGTTGATATTGTCTGAGATATTAGCTGTCTGTCAAAGGCTTGATACCACTGGTAAAGGTAAGCCTTTAACTTACATGTACTTAAAATTTGTTTAAATGATTGGATGGTAAATACTCTGCGAACAGAACTACTTAGTTTTCTCACCCACCGAGAAGCGGGTGAGAAAAGTAGCTCTGTTCGCAGAGTAAAAGGTAAAATGTTTTTTTTTTTGCATTAACCACGCCGATAACCAGTAAGGATTAGTTATTGTTTTTATTTTTATTTTTTTCATTAATCTCGATAACCAGTAAGGATTAGTCATTTGTTGTTGGAAGCAAAAGTAGCTTTATAAAGGCCAGTTTACACTTGGATTTTTGCAGCGCGATAATCGCCACCGCGATAATCGCCACTTTGCTATCGTTCAACTAAAATCGTATGTGTAAACAGCCCTGCGATTGTTGCGGCGATGGAAAATCGCTGCGAAGTTGCAGCCAATGTTCAAGCATGTTCGAAACTCAGGGGATGGTCGCGCGACGATCGCGTCGAGAATCGCTCTGCAAAAATCGCAAGTGTAAACTCATCAAATCAAATCTTTCTGTTTCTCTTAGTGTATTTGATGTGTTATGAGGATCATTATGATTGTGTTTTTCAAGGTTTGCCAGAAGATCAGTTTAATGTGGAGTTGATTGTCCAGTGTATTCGTGTATCTGAGAATCCACAAACACACCATCATGCCTTGTTACTGCTGGCCGAAACAGCAAGACTATTTCCCGTAAGTRGGTTTAATGTCACCAAGAAATGATCATGATACAGTCAACTCTCGCTATTACGGACACTCTCGGGACCGTCATTTAGTGTCCGAAGTAGCGAGGTTACTTTCAGTCATTTCTTTGTATTTTTCGCCGGGGATTCAGTATTTTACTGATCGAGGTGCCCGTTGTAGCGGGGTGTCCGTAAGGCGAGAGTTCGCTGTATCTTGAAATATCAATAAACTTACAAGCTCTTGTAATACTTTTTAAAAAAATCAAGCTTTATTACACAATTTCGTAAGGAAAGGCCACATACAAAACACTGCTTCCTTTAGTATTGAGTGCACATATATTTCAAAAAACGTTGCTAAGAACGGCCAACGTTGATTGTATGACCGAACTATGGTTACGCTGTTTGACATACATCATTTCACTTATTTGGTTCACCTTGAGTGAAAATGGACAATGTATGAAGCCATTGTTTATCAAGACAGTTTTGTGTAGTATATATAATGTATATATAATGTTTTTATTGTATTTAGGAGAAAGTACTGCACAATGTCATGTCAATATTCACATTCATGGGTGCAAACATACTCCGTCAAGATGACAGCTACAGCTTTCAAGTGATTAGCAAGACTGTAGAGACTGTGATTCCAGCCCTGATACAGGTAATGTGCTTYATGATAGATAAAACAGGTATGATATTAGAAGACTAGGGTCAGTAACGTTTGGATTGTTTCAGTTTAAAAGTTAGTTCCTAAGGATACTTTAAACGTTCTTGTCAAGATAATTTTTGCAGCGCTGAAAATATTAGTTGTAATATTCTTTCACGTACATTGTCATATTAGATGAATAATGGATTAGCAACTTCAACCGTAAGCACTTTCAGTGCAATTGCAATAAGGGATGGCTGAACTTAAACCCAATATAAACCCAATATAAGTTTTTCTTGCTGCATACTCACAGTAGGATGGCCTTTTACTTTTAAGTAAAAACACACCTGAATACCCAAAAGACCCATTGTTACGATACGTTCTTGATATTTGTTGGATAAACAACAGTTGTGAGGTATTGAAAAGGTCTAGTAAAGACGGAACTATTTTTACGAATCTTGTGTTTTCTGTACGTCGAAGGAGTGATAACAGTTATTTGAGAATGAAGTTACGATAAGTTGTTTTTTTACCGTGATCGCGGTAGAATGGCATTGTATAGTTAGACTTGATTTGCAAAGGATGAACAAAGAGTTATCAGCCCACTTCATTTACAAATTTCAACTATTTGGCCTCGAAACAATTGCTCTTTTTTTCAGGCTGGCAAAAAGCAACAGCTTCCAAAGTTCAATGTTAAGGGGTCGCCATCTCTTTCTCTGGACGACATTGTTGCCATGGTGATAAGAGTTTTTGTKGATGCTTCACCACACATCCCAGAACATCGGCGGCTGTCTGTTTTCTCTCATTTAGTGTCGACAGTAGGCTGTGTGAAGTACTTGCATGTAACTGTTGCGCTATTATTAGAGCATTACATCATCCATTCTTCTGACCAGCACGATAATGAAGAGGTAAGTATATTTTCTTTTTGAAAATGAATTTTGGTTCAACTCAAATGCCTCATACCATAAAGTCCGATTGATGATTTGTGCCTTAGCAAACAAAAACCATTGGAAAGAACCTCCTTTTTTTCAACAGACGTACTCGTCTTGTAAAACATCAATAATAGAATATCAGAGAATGTAGTATTGATGATATTGATACTGATGATGACATCAATCATATTTCAGGGCTCTGTCCATGCACCTCTGGATGAAGAATTCTGTCTCGCTTTGTGCCAAGAGTTTGATCCAACAGTCCAGGTAATGTATACTCAACATATGGCCTCTGTATTCAAAAGGCTAAAAAATCTATAACCGTCAAAGTGCGAAGTATATCGTTGATGTTAGTTAGTTATTTATGCCCATCTTCCCTAGTGGGAAAAATAGGGTCGCGACACTCTTTTCGGTTCTTCGCTAACTACTTCAACGCCTCGCCACCAGTCAGTCCCATCTCTAGCAGCTCTACCTCTGCTGTTCTTCGCCAGGTGGGTTCAGGCCGTCCAGGCTTGCGATTCCCAACAGGTCCCATCGTTGATGTAACTGACCATCAAGTGGAGTTCTAGGTGAAGTTACAAGACCCAATTTTAAATTATTAATTGTCAAATTACACTAACTTAGTTTCTCATTATTTTAAAACTCAGAAGATAACATATTATTTAAAACCCTTTTAAAAACGTTTCCGCCACACTGACGTCACTCTCTACCCAGTAGACATCGTTAAGAATCTCACCATTGCTATGACAACCAATGATTGTGTAACTAGATATTTTTTATATATTTTAGGCTGAGGGAATGTTGAATCTTCTCAAATACGTCGCACAATTACCAGCAGAGAAGCCTGATGGTGAGCTATTTCTTGATAATCTTTCATGGYTAACAGTTTTGCAAGTCTAAAGAAGATATCTTCGTAAAATAAACTTGCAATCTAATCTTCGAAAATGGAGACATTTTCTGAGAAAATATGCATTTTAATCGTGACAAAGTAGAAACATTTGTTCCTTAGTATGGATGGGTCCACCCAATAAGATGACTGCTCGCCAGCATAGGTTCACAGGTTTGATTCCCGTTGAAGCTCGAAATTTTTTCAGGAGATCCATACTTTTCTTAATAATTAAATAGTTACACATTTATTCACCCCAGTTCGAACCATTATTTCATTAAAGTGGAAACTGATAAAAACCTGTTTTTTTTTTTGGTTTTGAAAAATGCACCATGATAACCGTTAAAAWTCGCATTCCCTTGCCCCATGGAAAACAAACAAAAGCAAAAAATCATTTTCATAAACCATAAAAGAATCTTACAAACTGGAAAGTCGCATWATGATGGTTCATGATTTAGATATCTTGTTATTTTACTGCAGTTCCTCATCGTCCCAGAGCAAGTCGACGGTCTACAGCATTGTTTAACACCCMATCGCCATTGTTTGATGTCCAGGCCCACTCATCAAAACACCTGCGTCAGTTCAAGTTTGTTTCTATTTGCTTCATCCCCACAGTTCTTAGCGCTGAAACTTTTGTTTCTCAGGTAAACACAAAAACTTGGATCTCCAACTGAACAACATAAAACATGACATATCGGCATGTAACTATAGAAACAGCTAGATTTTACTCCTCCCAGGCAACTCTCTTTTCCTCCTTTAGGCTTCCTTTGTAACGGTCATCTTGGACGCGAGGGACTAGTGACGAGAATTGAAAATTAAGAGCCCCCATTCTCCCTCTTCTGACTCTCAAAAAAAACAGGGAGTCAAAATGTGTCGGCGTCTACCAAATGTTTTATGAGTTTGAAATCTATTCTTCATCTGCAAAYACGTTACAGCGGCCATCTTGGTTTGACTGCAACAAAGGCTTTCTCACTACTTTATATTGTTCATTCAGCAAATATGGCCGCCGGTCTTTTGAATCTTATTGCAATGATTGAAGCAAATACATTTATCAAATTCAAAAGAGTGATAGAGGTACTTAATCTTAATCTTAAATCTATTCTGAACTAAGAAATTGATATCACAGGTACAAGAATTAACCAATCTACAGGGTACCATGGAGAAGATTTACTTGAGGTAAACACATTGTCACTGCAGACAGCAATTCACTACTTATTGGCACAATTCATCGCTCATTGGCGTAATTAGCATATTTCAYTGCTCATTAGCATAATTAGCATAATTCACTGCTCATTAACATAATTACCAAAATTACCGGTCGCTGATAATTAGCATAATTCACTGCTCATGAATATAATTACCAAAATTACCGATCACTGATAATTAGCATATTTCGTTGCTCATTAGCATAATTAGCATAATTCACTGCTCATTAGCATGATTCTAGCATAATTRGCATAATTCACTGCTCATTGGCATAATTAGCATAATTCACTGCTCATTAGCATAATTAGYATAATAAATATATTAAATATGAATTTTCAAATGTTTGATTGACTAGATTTTTACTATTTCATGTCATTTCGTCTTTGGACAAAAATAGCAATTACAGTGCACATTGGCGAATCCAGAGTGTTGCAAAGTGGGGTATCTAACTGAAGAAAAACATATTAGGGAATAGATCTGGGGTGCGGGTGAATTTCTATTAAATATCCGCTAATTTCGTTGATTTTAAATTTGCACGTGCGCTTTTGCAGATGATGTGTCTCTCAATTTTCTTGTAATTCTTCTAAAAATGATAAATAAACTAGACTTGACTTGACTTGACGAATCCCATTCAAATTTCATTTCGTCTTTTATTTATTCGTTCATAATTTCTGTTTCTATATTTTTGAATCTTAACAAGAGGGGTGACTTGCTCCACCCTTATCATTCCCTCGGTATCTTGATGTATGCCATGATTTCACGGGAACCTTTTTTTAACCTTGGGTGTCTATTATGTTTTAGTCTGATAGAAGAGCTCCTCACGTTTGTTACCGTCACAGCTCAACACACCGAGGCTCACAGTCAGAGTACTACAGGGAAATTTTGGCGTGTCTTCCTTCACAAGATATATGACATTATTGATAAGGTACAATATAATTATCACTACCGCTATATTGTAAGTGAAGCATATATTACTGTAATGTTAAATTCAGGAATATTTTGTTCGAGATTGAGAAAAATATTTGGCAGGCATTTTGAAGAAAGGTCTTTGCAACCGTTATTGTCGTCATTATTTTGGATATTCAGAAATTTTTAATCATCATTTACCTAAAGTGGTCATTATAGCATCCCTCGTTGAAAAGCTTAGTTTTATTGACGGTTAGCAGTCTTTGCCCTGAATCACTGTAACAGTTACACATAATATCACAGGTAACCCAGGCTCAATAACTTAGTATAAAATATGTCGTTCGCACAATTTTTTCTTTTTTTGCCTAAATAATATTATTCTAACAT